ATTATGTGTAAATGGTGGTGACAGGGTTTTTTTTTTTTTGTTTTTTAAACATATGCCCTGATCGATCGATGGCACTTTTTTAAATTTCGTTGTTCTTGTGACAATGACAATAAAGATAAATTGAAATTGAATTGTAATGATTGGCTTTGGCCCCCCCATTCCAGCTTCACCCCTGGGGCCATGTACTTTGAAGCGTCCTTCAAAGTATTTTTATTTAATACTTCTTACGACCTAAATGGGACAATCTTATGTGTTACTTCTCTGTATGCAGGTTTATACTATAAGTATACTTTAATCATTCCAAACATCCATCAAAATATTTGAAGTATCAGTACTTTGCAAGAGAAATTAGTTAAAATTTTTTTTTTTTTTTTTTTTTTAAATAAAGCTTTCCGGATGGGATGTGAAACGTCTTCAAACTTGGAAAACAAAGTCCAGTGGTTTGTTTTTTTAAAACTTATTTGGAAAAATAATTAAATAAAAAGCTCAGAATCACGGGAGAGCTCAAAAACATAAAGCATCAGCTCAATCTTGTGAAAAACCTTTTGGCAAGCCCCGTCCCCTGATTCAAACATGGTGGTGGTAGTGTGGTGGTCTGGGACTGTTTCTCTGCTTCCAGACCTAGAAGCTTTGCTGTTTTTGAGGGAACCATGAACTGCACTCTCTGCCAGGAAGTCCTGATGTCTTACAACAGACTGTAAAGCAGTAAATCAGAGCCGAAACTCCTCATAGGTGACATAAAAGACTCTTTACGGGGACACTTACCCGTTAACAGCCAGCTCGGTTTGGATAGTTTCCCCCCCTTAATAACTGATTTTTATTTAGTCATGTTTTATCTGTGTAATATTAATATCACCACTGAGATGAGAAGGTTATACATTGAAAAGCGTTCATATTGAAGAAACAAACTGCCTAAACAACAAATATAATCTTTTTTTTTTATCATCACAGCAATTTTACCTCTTGGAAGGAAAAATATATTTTGTAAAATCTATATATAATTTTAGCCTTTTAAGGCCTGTAGAGTAGTTTGACTCAACATTGGCTTTGGAAATATCTGATGAAGGGAAGTCTTAGAGCAGAGGTCACCAACGCAATACCCTCGAGCACCAAGGGGCCCTCAGGGACCACATGGGGGGCCCTCTCTGTCTACTAAAAACAAAACAACTCATCAGGCTGAGTTTGAAACTTGATTTTATTCTGTTACTCATCTTTTATAATCATTTGTGGAGCATTTCATCATCCATCCATCCATTTTCTAACATGCTTACTCCAAAGTAAGGGTCGCGAGGGGTGCTGGTGCCTATCTCCAGCTGTCAATGGGCGAGAGGCGGGGTACACTCTGGACAGGGCGCATTTCATCATATTAATCATAAATAGCATGTAAGCAATTATAGAGATTTCAAAATGACTATATCTAAAAGAAAATTAGATAAAAAGAAACAATAAAAATATGCGTATGATGCATGAAGGTGAACTCTGACTCCTCCAGTTCATAGGTCAGTATTGGAAGCCCTTCCTATGACTTAGTGCCCATGAAGCAGCTCTACGCCTTAAAAAGGTTGGTGACCCCTGTCTTAGAGCGACCATCATCAAACCTACTTCATTTAGCAGTTCTTTTAGACTGAGGAGAAATCATATTAATTTATCTTCATGTTTTAATTTACTTGATTATTTTGACTTTCAATCTGAACAATTTTAGTTTTCAGTTTAGGGATGCACGATATAATCTGCCCCCTATCGGTATCGGCCTTAAAACTGAATATCGGACATCGGCCATCCCTCCGATATTTAACCCGATATTTGATCAGCTTCTGAGTTTCTAAAGTCTAAAAAAGAATAAAAAATACTACTTCTTCTTTCTCAAAAACTTTTTTTTTTACACACTTAAAAACTTCTAAAGACGAGAGAAAAAATATTGATACATTAAAATATCACAATATCTTCATATGCTGATATATTGCCATTTAAAAACACCATATCAATCTCTTTTACTAATGAAATATTGCTATATGTCATCGTTATGCTACGAAATTCCCCGAAAATTCACGAAATTTTGCCATATTTTTATATGTTGATATATTGACGCGGTATCGATCTATTTTACTAACAAAATCTCACAAGAATTTGCAAAATATCACGAGAGTTTGTAACAGAACGATGAAATTTCACGAGATATTGAAAGTAAAATAGATCGATACCGCGTTTTTAAAACTCAATTTGATATCAGCATATGAAAATATATTTGAGTATATTATTTTTCAAAGTGTCAGAAATGGATAACAAAACTGCTATTTTCAATGACTACTTATTTTTGTCCAGCTTTAACATCGGTATCGATATCGGTTATCGGCTACATGAGTTTTAAAATATCGGCATATCGGATATCGGTCAAAATCCCAATAATGTGCATCCCTAATTCAGTTGACTTCTTGGTATATGAACTTCTACTTTACGTTGTGAAAGCAACATAACTGTACAAGTAAACGGTTAGAAATGTTGTTACAGAGCTGTTACACTGAAATTAACTAATTTAATATCTTTTTGGAAAATAGGTCTTTCAAACAATTGAAACTATTTAATGTGATTTTGAAAAGGCAGTCAGGATCTGAAATCTTTTCTTATTGAAAAGCTGTCAGCCACAGAGTTCCTGGTGTTTGCGTGCCCTCCAGTGGTCGCGCATGGAACACTGCACTTCCACCTTTTATTTTCGATGTGCCAGGGGCCATTTTGAACCGTATACAGATGTTACTACACATGTCTGACTGGTGTACACTTAACGTGTTAGAAAATAAACATCAAGGCATAAGATGGTTGAAGCAAATGCATTTAAAATGAAAATGAATCAACTATAAAAGGAGCAATACAAGGGAATAATCATTTTATATCGACTTTGCCTACAATTTTGTTACTTTTACGTTGTTTTTTTTGTCAGTTAAAGTGAGGCATAGCATTTTATCTAAACTATTTACTTTATTTATTTTAAATATTTTAATTATGTGTATTAATTTCTATAAAAATAATGATCCATAGAGGCACAGGAAATGTTTTTGTTCTAATTCCATTTCCAAATCAAGACTCCAGGATTTATTCTATTTGATTTTACACAAAATCTATTTTTATGGCTGCAGAAAAAGCAAAAAACAAAACATGCATTATCTTATACAAGACTTGAAAGAGCCACTTTATTAAAAAGACATAAGGTTTTACTCATGTCTTATTTTTCTAAACCAAAACCTTTGAAGATCTGGACAATTTTTTTTTTTTTTTTTTCTGTTTGAAAACTTTCCTTCACTGCTCTCCTAAACTTAACCGCTACTTCTTGTCGGAGACCAATTAATGAGGCGGATAAACTCGCTAATTGGCCGCTTAATTGGCCCCTGTCGCCGCGCGCAGCATCCCTGCATCCTTCACTTCCTGCCCTCAGACATCACTAGCGTGTCTGTAACTGTTTAGGGTCATGCTCTCAGACAGAAAAGGACCCTGACACACACACACACGCGCGCGCGCGTACTTCCCACACCTCCCACTCCCACGATAGCTCAGTGTTTTATGTCTGCGTCACAACAAGTCGGCGGAGGGCGAGAGGCAGAGGGATGATGGCGTCTCTGGCGGCTTGATTCCGGTGCAGCTCAGGAGAAGAAAAAAAATAAATAAAAAAAATCCGCCTTAATAAGCTTGTGGGTGAGGAGTGAGGGTGGAAGGGGTGAGAGAGCAAGAGCGACATGATGAAACCCCACCGCGGAGAAAGGATGGACAAACTAGTCTGAGAGAGACGGACGGACGGACACAGTCGCCTCCTTTCTCCCCCTCCTCCTCCTCCTCCTCCTCCTCCTCACTGACGGTTTGACTGACACACACACACACTCTCACACACTCTCTCTCTGTAAGAGGCGCCTGGCAAAGACACAGACATACATGCACACCAGCCACTTTTTGCAAACCCGCCCGCTGCGCATCGGAGCCGGCAGTAATTGGACCTCCTCAGCTGATGAAGGTTTTTCATGTCCAGCCTTGTCCAGGATCTCAGTGACCCCGACGGAAAGGAGTTCGACTTGACAGGTACCCTTCACCGGCCAGCCCCACTGTTGAATCCTCCATCTGATAACAGCGCTCTGCATGCTGCGTCTTCACTGACATGTGTGCATTGCACTGGAACAAACGCTCAGTGTGCAAAGACAAAAAAAACGCCCCGAGGAGTCTGATCTTGCATCTTTATTCAAGTTTTTAGAGAAAAGAGATGTGAGGAAGACAGTCAGCGGGCAAAGTGCACAGATGCCTCAAGTAGCTGCATCCAGTTAAACTGTGTTGCAGCAGTCATCATGCAGTGCTTTCTCCTCCTATGCGCGCGTTTGATGTGTGCAGTAATCATTTGTCTTGCTCTCTGGTTGTGTATACTCACTGTCATCTTTTAGTCTGCTGGATGCAGGCTGGTGCTATTGCTCAGGTTTAAAGAAGAGGTGTGTGGGGTGAGTGTGTGTGTGTGGAGGAGATTTTTTTTAACCCCCTTTGGACTGAAAGGCCAGGGACACAAACCCTGTATGTCAGCAACAGCAGCAAAGTATTCAGCGGATAAATCGGATTTCCATTTTCACACAATCCCTGCTCCCCTCTCTGTGTCTCTCCTCAGGATGGGGGGAGTCAGTGAGGGAGATGATGTGTTGGCTCGTTGGAGCGATGGACTCCTGTACCTTGGCAATGTAAAGAGAGTAAGTGGGCAAAGTGTGTGATGGGAACGTACTTTTTCAGGCGAGTGTGTGTCGATGTTGATCAGAGAGACTTTGGTAATGTTTTCGTCTCCTTTCTGCCTCCTCAGGTCGACGGAGTCAAGCAGTGCTGTTTGGTGAGATTTGAGGACAACTCTGAGTTCTGGGTGCTGAGGAAGGACATTCACTCATGTAAGAATGTTTCCTGCTCTGTCAGATGGGAGGACTTTTCTATTGGGAGAAATCTTTACTCCTAAATATCTCAGGCTAAATTCAGTCTACATGAACTCTAGCTCATCATTATATCTTTGATCTTCTAATATTAGTGATATTTCAGGGATTTCATTAGTTTGATTAGTTGTTAAACCTTTCTTCTCTTAATTATAAGCCAATAAAAATGTTTCAGAAGTCTTTTAAACACATAAAGATGCAGAAGAACACATCATTAAAATCAGATGGTTAAATCAGACTCATTATTTCAGATTCAGCTCTGCTAGGCTTCCCAAAATCCTATTAGCTAAAAAAATAAAATAAAAAAGCCCTTGCTTTTGATTGCTTTTAACCTGCTTAAAAAGGAGAACTTTACATACATTTTCTTTTGTTTTAAAATGTTCAAGGTGTCAAGGCTCAGAACAGGGGACCAAGTATTCAGAAGGAGAGACAGGCAATAAGATATTTCAAAGAACGTTCATTTAAAAACGACGGATTTAAAGTAACAGACAGGACGTTTAAGGCAGGAACCTCTGCAGGACGAGAACACGGGTTAGTGACCACATTAATCTGGAGGATGATTATGAACGTGAGTCACTAACCTGGTCCTTTAGTTCAGTCCATGCCCAGAGGGCGAGGTTTAATCAGGCGATCTGCTGCCAACAAGACGCGGCGGGCGCCGCCCAGAGAGTCCCAGATACCGTAGTACCAGTGAACAGAGAATAAGCTAGAGATGACAAATGAAGGATGAAGCCAAAGATGGTGTTGAGGAAGTGCTCAGGATTCCAAACCATGAGATCAGAAGTCTGAAGAGGTTCCAAAGGGAAATCCAGAACGGTGTCAGTTCAGTTAACAGATAGAATCCAGTACGAGTCTGAAGGCAGGTCAGGCAAACAGTTCAGACAGGAACACGCTTGGTCGGTGGTTGAGTGGCAAAACAGGTCAGGATCAGGTTATCAGAAGCCCTAAGACACGCTAGAAAAATCTCACCAAGAATAATCTGGCACTGATGAGTGGTTTGAGGGTCGTTTAAATAGAAGCAGGAGCAGGTGGATCAGATGAACAGCAATGAGAAAATGGACAGAGCTAAGCAGGTGAATGAAATGAGTAATCAACTGTATTATCTTTAAACCAAATCAGAACAATGGCTGGACAGTTATTTACACTATTTATACCATAGGCGTAATTACAAAAAAATGCAAGATCCAAACTCTCAACTTTTGGTCTTGTTGCAGGTGACAAGATTAAGATGGTAACTTTATTAGTCCAGCCCTGTAGATGGTGGTAATGCGCTTAAGTAAGTGATACACAATCGGACTTCGCAGAAGCTCCTCACCTTCACATTTGATGGTTGCACCCGCTTATACTATGGCCATTTAAAGAAATAAATATGAAATCAATTAAAATACATTAGTGTTTTGTTTACTTTTAAAACGGCAAGTTTTTTTTAAAAAGAGATAATAAAGGAAAAAGCTTTTGGAAAGAGAAGAAATATATTTTTAATGGTTAGCTAAAATTTGTGGAATTTTTCCCAAAACATTTCCAACTTTAAAAAACTATCTGAATTGATTTCTGATATAGTCTTTTTTTAATTCAAATCAAATAGTTGATGGAGAAAATAATAAAACCTGCATTTATTTGTTAGTATATATGTATATTTTAAAAGATTACTTGGTTCTTTATTCTTTTTAGCCAAACTGAGGAAGAGTTTAACTGTTAATATAAAAGTGTCACAGGGGCCAAACTTGTGGCTTCAGAGCCAAAGGTTACAGACCCCTGTAACAGGAGCCATTTGTAGTTATGTTTTTGGGCATAATTTGGGTGTATTTTACTTAGTTTCAGTACTAATTAGTTTAGTGGCGGTATTTGGGTTATATATAAATTGTTTTTCTGACCTATAATCTTGCTCTAACACTGGTGGCGCTGTGGGTAAAATCTATTTAAGTGTCACTGCAGGCGGAAGAGTAAAGGGTGTAGGTATGTCACACCATTGCCTACCGCTCCCTGTTTATATACTGGTTTGCTTTTTAATATCCACCTATTGATGAATATTGCCATTTCCTTTGCATGCTGCCATAGACCGCCCCCCAGGAATCTGGATCGCATTCAGTGTTCAGTGTGTGCATAATAAATGGGGGCATTCCCAAACGTATTTTCCAGTCTGGACATTGCCTTTTGAGTGCATCAGGACCTGGTTTTCCCACACCCAGAATTGACCAAAATTAGAGGCAATTTGATGGTCGCTACAAGTGTTAAGTGATACAAAGTACAATTTTATAAGGATAAAAATTTAGAGCAATTGGCCTGTTTGATATGAAATTTCCTATGGGGGTCCTAATATCACTTTATGGAGAATTAACCCAGACCACAGTATAAAGTGGGTTAGCTGCCACACAGAAGGTTACAGGCATCTCCAGCTAGCCGGCAGATCCGGGAATGCAAGCTAGAAGTACCTTTATAAAAGAGCAAAGTTCTGCAGTAATGGACTCTGGACAAGTGTAATGATCTCAGATTATTGGACCCAGAATTCAAGGCGAGACAGGCAGCGTTTATTTAACAAACAGGTGCGCGGGGCTGCTCGTCTGCTGCGGGGGCAGATCTCTGCAGGGATAGGAGAATACAGGTCAGTGACTGGATGTGGAGCTGAATACGACTTGGAGCTAGTCACTGACCTGATTCAAAGTTCAGTCCGTTCGCAGAGAACTCAGCAGAATCCAAAAGGGAGGTTTGACTGCAGTTGCGGCGGCCACGCCCCCAGAGTTCCTAGAGAGCGAGCAGCAGACGCCGAGCAGCAACAGATTCCAGAAGGGAAATCCAAGGCCGAAGTCAGAAGACAGTTCCAGGTTCAGAAGCCGGTAGAATCCAGGATCAGATGCGACAAACAGAGCAGACAGGGGCAAGGCAAAACTCGAGATCCTCAGGGCAGAAAACTGGTCATAATCAGGGAAACAGACAGACTCAAGATTGCTAGGGAATGTCTCACAAAAACATGCGAATAACCTGGCGCTGATGGGAGGCAAACACACAACTTAAATAGTAGAGGAACAAGGTGAAAATGATCAGCGATAATCAGCCGCAGAACCAATTAGACAGGGGAGCAAGGAGCAAAGGAAAAAAACAAACCATCAGCGCCAAGATCATGACAACAAGAGGGTATTTAGGGCTAGAAAACAATGAAAGGAAAATCGATTCCTGATATCTCCAGACATTTACGCATTAATTTCCCCCATAATGCTGTTGAAATCATGAAGTGCACCAGTCCCTCCCTCAGCCCACACTCACACAGCATAATGCTTCCACTTCCATGCTTTACAGTTGGCATGGTGAGCTCAGGTTTGAAAGCCTCCACCTGTTTGCTCCAAATGTAACAATGGTCATCAAGGCAGAACCAATAAATTTCAGTTTCACCACATCCCAGGACAGGTTTGTTGCTTTTTGAGTAATTGCTCCTTCCTCTCTGAGAAAGTGGCCCTTTCTGCCCTGTCGGTATATGACTGCTTTCACTTTGAATGATCACATTCTCCTAGCAGCTTCAGTCAGCATCTTCACAAGGTCTTTTATTTTTTGTTCTGTGTTTGATTTGAACATTCGGCACATAAACCCATTAATCTTTGAGACAGATTCTCCTTCCAGGATGGCATGATGGAGATTGGACATTTTCCTTCTCTTTATACTTAGAATTCTTAAAACAGATAAATGAGACTCGTTAAGCGGGACACTGAAAGATTTTTTTCTTCCTTGTGTCTTAAATAGTCCTCAATGTCTTTTTAATTTTCCCATCAGTCACAAAAGGAAGTGAATTTGATTGACATCAATCAACAAATCTGATTGACATCAGAAAGTTGATGAGACCGTTTGGGATTTTTTTTTTACTTTGAACTTTAGCAAAAAAAAAAAAAAGAATTGTATTTCAAAATCTCTGTCGTTCTGGCATTGACATTTGGCGAATTAATTGATCTTCTTGGTTGACAAATGGTTACGTTTTTCATGCTCGGATTTATATGTCTAACCCACATGCAGAACACTCGGAGGCAGATGAAAAATTCAAAGGTTTATTAACAATAAATGTACAATGATATGAACAGGTCCAAGAGGGGGCTTTACTGGTCACGAGTTGTTCACTGCTGAGGAGGACAGAGAGATTAGTGAAGGTCCAGGTATATTGCAGGTTGTCAGTGTTCAGGTCTATACCTGTTCTGGAGTGGAGCAGAGCTGCAGAGGGAGGGAACCTTGAGGGTCCAGAGGTTGTCGCCAGGCTGAGGGCTGAGGCGGAGGCAGAGCTTACTGAGTGTTGCTGGCAGATCTCAGACTGAGTTTCCTTCCAATTTATCTTCTGAGAGCGGGCAGGCAGATACTGACTGAGGCAGCTCTCCAGAGTTCTACTGAGAACGGGCAGGCAGATACCGACAGAGTAAACTCTCCAGAGTTTCAGGTATTCAGGCAGGATCAACCTGTGAGGCAGAGAGGAGAAAACGGGATCAGACTAAGTTCACAAAAAGTCAGAGAACACAGACAGGCAGGTTGGCTCAGGCTTGCTAACCATTACTGGCAAACACTCTGGCACTGGAGTGGATCCCTCCGCCTCCTTAAGTACGGATCTCCTGATGAGCAGATGGAAAACAGGTGTTGCGGTCGGCTCATGCTCCAGGAGATCTCGTGCGCCCTCTGGTGGAGAAAGTGGACAAACCTCCAGATCCCAACGTTTCCTCATGTATCAAGGGGATCTTTCTATAGCATGAAGAGTTTTTTTTAGAATATGATGTACAAAAGATAATAATAGCTTATTCTGCAAGTTGTGCTAAACACTGACACTGTATTCAGAAGGACAAACAGGCAGTAAGATATTTCAATGAAGGTTTGTTTAAAAACAAGGGATTTAAAGTAACAGACAGGACGTTTAAGGCAGGAACCTCTGAAGGACGAAAACACAGGTTAGTGACCACATTAATCTGGAGGATGATTATGAACGTGAGTCACTAACCTGTTCCTTTAGTTCAGTGCATGCCCAGAGGACGAGGTTTATTCCAGGTGATCTGCTGCCAACAAGACGCGGCGGGCGCCGCCCAGAGAGTCCCAGAAACTGTTCCTTTAGTTTTTTTAGAATATGATGAAAAAAAGATAATATAGCTTATTGTGCTAGTTGTGCTAAACACTGACGGTATAAATCAAAAATGTTTTCTCTACGCTATTAAAATGACAAGTTATAACAAAACAGGAACGTTTTAGGTTACTGAAGAGAAAAATGAGTAAAATATGTGAAACATTTATAATTTCCAATGCTCAGAAATGTAAAACTGTAATTTAAAGATGGGGTATGTCGCTGTGACGTACTGTCAGACGTTAAAGGCTGGATTATGTTTAGAAACCAGGTCATCTGCGTTTGTGTCTCAGTAAACGCAGATATGACCCCCGCCCCTTTCGCACTCTGGTGCACCTCTCCAAAATTGTAGGTGAAAAGTGCCGCAGACAGGAGGCCTCTGATTGGTCAAATCTACATCTGCTCTACACTATCCATATTTCCAGTTTGGTACCTTACTGGCTTGTGTTGTTTGTATGACCACCATTGTGGAAAACGACTGGTGAAGATGGACCAGCTAGAAGAGCGATGCGCGAGAACGGTGGTACCCTTTTCCCACCTTTATCCCCGCTAGTTTTCACACTCATGTCCCTCCATTGTCGCACAAACTTGCCTCTTGCGTTTTTCCACTTCCTCACCACCTCAGATGTATCCACATCTAGCCATGTACCCACAGCTAGTTTGTGATTGTCCCTCTTGCATTGTGTCGTGGATAACACAGCTAGCTTGCGACAAGCTAGCTGCGACACACTGCTACGGAAGTATACACAGCCCTTAACTGTGATATGAGGGAGATGGGATCTCCTTGCTCTCAGAGGAATGTATAAACTAGCATGTCTTCTTCTATCATATCACGTCCTCACCTACTGAGCACAGTGGAGAATTTGATGCTGCTCCGCCATGCAGCACAGCTAACTGGGCGCTATCAAGTGTAGGATTTTTTTATTTATTTACACAGAATCCTATAAAGTTTGTTCTGCATCCTTGCAGCCATTAAACAGAGGAAATAAATAATCCTAGCCTGGAATCTGGATCAATCCAAGTTTCTCCCCTAGCAGGCCTCCCTCCACTCTGGCATTACTTATCTTGCAAATACAAGTCAGGCTGAGCATAAGAATGAACAACGGCATCCTAGAGTGGCCTGCAGTAATGCTGCAACAATGAAAGAAATCACTTTTAAGTGGATGTTATTATTAAACTGTATAAAACATACTTAATCTATTATTAAACATTAATTGATTCAACAAGTAATCATATGTGGACTATTTGTTTACATCCCCACTTGGTAAGACTAACTGACCTAAAGCAGGTGAAGTTAAGCAGGAATTATCATTTGGTTTATGGGAAAAACGGAAGAATTATTTATTTATCAAAAATGTTATGTATTCAAACACTAAAGTAATATTTTCACTATCAGAATATGAACAGTGCATTGTCTTCTTCTGGCCTAAGGAGATATGAACATCAGTACAGCTAATAAATAGTTGATGCATTCATCTTATAACACTTTATATGTTTGTGGCAGCTATAACTAACATTGACCTTGAGGTTGCACGTCTGACTCCAGGGAAAGTTTTTTGTTGTTTGTCCAACTGAGAACTTGGAAATTGGTTATGATGGTGAGATCAAATTTGGGTTTTACTCTGAACCTAATCCAGATGTTGATCTGTTGTTACAGGAATTCGATACTAAAACAGAAATTAACTCGCTCCAAACACAAAACTATTCAATAAGTCGCAGACATACTTCGCTTAAATGTACATAATTATAATTTTATAGAGTGAGAATGGTGCAAAAAAGTGGAGGTTATTAGTTTATAAATGTAAAATATGCACCCCATCATTGTCTCCATGCTCACATGGTCTCAGGTGCACAAAGAAATCAGTAAAAAAAAACAATTCCCTTCAGTCAAACATTTTTTGCATTACAGGTTAATGGTTCTTAGTTGTGAAATTTACGCTTGAAATCTTGATTGGAGCTTTTTTTCCCATCTCTCTGTTGTGGGAGATGAAGGAATAATTTGAGACATGATTCATTCTGTTTAAAGCTCTAACAACTGAGAACAAATTTCTATCATATTTGGAGGGGTTTGATTTAAGATTTTGCTTTGTTATGTTTGTACGTGCTTTAAAAAAAACTTGTATTTAATCGAATGTCATTGTTTCCATGGCCCCTCTGGAGGTGCAGCTGCAAAGGTTGGCGTGTTGCTTTGGCTGAATCAAGCTACTTGAATGTTGTTTGTGGTAACAAGCATACCTTCTGCACAACAGGGTTTTCAAAATAAACATACTTTGCTGCCATGCATTGCACACGGAGTAACAATGATAACAAAACTGAGATACACCAGCATATTTAATCTAAACATTAGCCCTCAGCTGAAATGTTACAGATCAGGGCAAAAATTATATTTTAGATATATTTATTTGTCTAAACCATGGAGCTTACGAGGTACAGATGTCCTGTAATATGCAATACATGCCTTGGGCAGATTGGGTTTACATAGCAACGCACTAAGGCTGAAATCTGATTGGACAAAAAATATAGCAACCACGTAAATTAAGAGAACAGATTGTTTGGAATAAATTAATACAGTTGATCTGCACTGGAAATGGGATCCTACTCTACTTCCGGTGGCTAACTTTTTCGGCTTTGGATTTAAACATAAATCTAGTTTTTTTGAGTTTTATATGTATTCCTTTCGTTTTTACACAATCGAAAAGAAACCGCTAAAATGCAGATAAGCATGGTTTAATCATATTTTGTCGGACTTCTCTGAGCATGCCTGATGATGAAGTCAGAGAAGTAGTTTAACAGAGAAAATGTAAAAAGCATAAACATTGTCTCACAGAAATCATGAAACCTTTTTTAAAGATGTGTATTCTTTGGTGAGTTAAGGATAGAAATAAGTAGTTCTAGTACCATAATTACATTATTTACGGTATATCTGTTCGTGCATGAGCAGAACGGATCGTGCTTCTTGGGACGGATCGGGTGGTGACACACATGATACACACATATGCGCTGGTCAAATTTTCTTCACACCTTGCGACAAAAAAATAATGGCAAAGAAGCTGGATCTGAATGAGCTCTGTTGAATTTTTTTTTCCTTTTTAAAAAAAGACGTATTAAACTGAATTTAAAGTCAATTTAGGAAGGATTGTATCAGTAATACCAGGTTTTGACACCTCTAAAAAAACATGTTTAGGTTTGATTCAGTTAATGTCCCTGTAAATGCTCAAAGTAAAAATTTTGTCCTGTTTACAATAAGCTGCCTGTGTTATCTGAAGGAAGATTGCTGTTTCTTGCATATTAGAGTCAATTGATAAAATGTGTTTGATTAATGACCCCTCTGGGAAACGACTCTCCCTGTTCCTTCTAACGTTGAGTCAAAGGGGAGCTTAGACTCTTGTTAGGACCAAGCTGAGCATCAGCACGTCAGCTGAAAGGTGCAGGTGACTCTGAAATCAATGAGATAGCAGGGATGTGAATCAATATACATAAATTAATGCAGTTGACTGCTTTCTCTCTCTGTCTGCGTCTCTGTCACCCTCTCACTCATTGACTTCCTCCCCTCCCTTCTGTTTTTCTTTTTTCCCTCAGTCTCTGCTGGAGTGGAAGAAGTTTGCTGTATTTGTGACGCCCCGCCTCTTAAAGAACCCCTCATAAATTGTCTTAAATGTCACCACGGTAAGGAAGCCTGCCTCATCATGCTCTGTCAAACGCTCCTTCTCCCTTAGAGGCTGTTGTGACCTTGAAGAGTTGACACAGGATGGTAAATAACAACACAAGAAGGCCTCTTATCATAAATTATGGCGAAGAGTTGCCACATCTGCACTCCGAGGAAGGAAATAAGACATCAGGAGATAGAGGTTATAGATTTACATCCTACAAAATGTCCTCATTTTTTATTTCTTCTAATTGAAAGGTTAAAAAAAATTAAAAGACAAGAAAATGGTTTCTTAATGTGATAGAATACATTAAAATTAGAGATGGGCTGATGCTGATAGCCAATATTTTGTGATTAGTGATTGCTTGAGCTGATTCCCTAGGCCAATATTGTCAATCCCTTTATTTGTCTCACAAGGGGGAAATTAACTCTCTGCATTTAACCCATCCCCTTGTGGAGCAGTGGGCTGCCATTGTGCAGCACCCCGGGGAGCAGTGTGTGTCATGATTAACTAAAAATGAGACCCAAATGCAGAGAAACCATTACAGAGAGACCAGGGAAAAAGGCTTAACAGGTTTTATTGAAGAGAAAATGTTTGCATTTTGTTGCTCTGAACTCTGCTCAACCGGAACTGAAAAGTAAGGTGAAGACACAGCGATTAGTTCAGGCTCAATGGGAAATTTTATTTGTGAACTTGGAGAAGAGGATATGGATGCTGACTCATGTTTCCAGAGAAGTTGTTGTATCTTAGACTCCAGTCTGTGTGCTGTTGTTCCAGTGTTTGTCTGATTGGGTGGAGGGCAGAACAGGGTTTACCCAGAACGAGGTCGTTTGTAGGTGAACGGAGAAACTGACTGCCACTCAGATTTCCTGTGGTACTTGAACGGGTCGTAGTGGAGATGATTCCCTTGCTCAGTGTGTAAACTCAACCTTCTCCTTGGGAAAGTGGATCCAAACCTCCAGTTTGAATCCCCAGCTCAGTTTGAATCTCAATTGATCCTTCCAGGGAGTGAAGGTCCGAAAGATCCAGTTTTCAGGATGTCTTCCTGCCGAGAGGCAAAGACAAAGTTGACAAAGACAAAGACAATGTTTAAACTCAGGTTGACAAGAACTCAGTCTTACTCAGCTTGGCTAGAGTACCCAAAACTGGCAAACACTCTGGCGTCGAGGTAGTGGCAATCAGCAGCTTAAGAGCACTCCGTTAACGAGGTAACCATCAGCAGGTGTGTGTGGAGGCGGACCGGAACCAGGCGCCTCCTGTTGGAGGAAGGGAGACAAACAGAAAAAACAAACACACAGACTGGAGCCCTGACAGTGTGGGGTTAAGGGTCTTTGCTCAGGGACCAAGAGTGGCAGTCCGTGGGAGCGGGGCTTGGACTCAGAACCTCTGGATTCCAAGCGCAATACCCTAACCACTAGGCCACCCCTCCCCTATTTTGCTTCTTCTTCCTCTGTTTACATGATAGAAAAAAAAAACAATGATAACAAATTTCTCAAATTGAATCTTTAATTTATTTTTTGAGAGTCTCTATATTAACGATATTAATGATCAATAGATCACTGCCCCGAGGGCCCCAATGACCACGGTTACCACTGATGCTTTGACCTTCCAGGTTTTCTCCAGCTCTTCTCTGAGCCCCTGGCATTTCTCTAGTTTCTCATGTTCTTTTTCCTGATGTTGCAGTCACTTGGTATTGCTGTGTCAACCACAACGGCTTTCCTGTGCTTCTTGTCCACCACCACAATGTCCGGTTGGTTTGCCATTACCATTCGGTCCGTCTGTATCTGGAAGTCCCTCAGGATCTTGGCTTGGTCATTCTCTGTCACCTTTGGAGGTGTTTCCCACGTTGACCATGGGGTTTCCAGCCCATACTCTGCACAGATGTTCCTGTATACTATTCCAGGCACTTGGTTATTGTGCTCCATATAGGCTGTCCCTGCTCGCATCTTTCACCCTGCAGTTATGTGCTGGATTGTCTCAGGCGCCTCTTTGCACAGTCTGCACTTGGGGTCTTGTCTGGTGTGGTAGATCTGGGTCTCTGTTGCTCTGGTGCTTAGGGCCTGCACTACTCAAAACAATTAAAGGAACACTTTGTAATCAGAGTATAGCATCAAGTTAATTAAACTTCTGGGATATTGATCTGGTAAAGTAAGTAGCAGTGGGGGTCGTTAATCAGTTTCAGCTCCTTTGGTTTTGATGAAATCATCAACAGGTGCGCTATAGGGGCAACAATGAGACGACCATCAAAACAGGAATGGTTTTACAGGTGGAGGCCAATGGCATTTTTTCCCTCCTCATCTTTTCTGACTCTTTTTCACCAGTTTTGCATTTGGCTCAGGTCGCTATCACTACTGTTAGCATGAGGCGCTACATGGACCCTACAGAGGTTGCACAGGCGGTCCAACTCCTCCAGGATGAATATCTATATGTCTATCTATAAACACTGCTCAAAAAAATTAAAGGAACACTTTGAAAACACATCAGATCTCAATGGGGAAAAAATCATGCTGTTTATTTATACTGATAAGGACTGGTTGATGTGTTAGGAACAAAAGGATGCCACATCATTTAATGGACATGAAAAGGATCAACCTACAGAGGACTGAATTCAAAGACAGCCCAAAAAATTACAGTGAAAAAATTATGCGGCAGGCTAGTCTATTTTGCTGAAATTTCATTGCAGCAACTCAAAATGGTATTCAGTATACATACCTGACAGGGCATGCTCCTAATGAGATGCCAGATGGCGTCCTGGGGTATCTCCTCCCAGATCTGGACCAGGGTATCACTGAGCTCCAGGACAGTTTGAGGTGCAACCTGGTGGCGTCGGATGGATCGAAACATAATGTCCCAGAGGTGTTCTATTGGATTTAGGTCAGGCGAGCGTGGGGGCCAATCAATGGTATCAATTCCTTCATCTTCCAGGAACTGCCTGCATACTCTCGCCACATGAGGCCGGGCATTGTCGTGCACCAGGAGGAACCCAGGACCCACTGCACCAGCATAGGGTCTGACAATGGGTGCAAGGATTTCATCCTGATACCTAATGGCAGTCAGGGTGCCGTTGTCTAGCCTGTATAGGTCTGTGCGTCCCTCCATGGATATGCCTCCCCAGACCATCACTGACCCACCACCAAACCGGTCATGCTAAACGATGTTACAGGCAGCATAACATTCTGCACAGCTTCTCCAGGCCCTTTCACGTCTGTCACATGTGCTCAGGGTGAACCTGCTCTCATCTAGGAAAAGCACAGGGCGCCTGTGGCGGACTTGCCAATTCTGGTGTTCTGTGGCAAATGCAAATCGAGCTTTATAGTACCGGGCAGTGAGCACATGGCCCACTAGAGGACGTCGGGCCCACAGGCCACCCTTGTAAAGTCTGTTTCTGATTGTTTGGTCAGAGACATTCACACCAGTGGCCTGCTGGAGGTCATTTTGTAGGGCTCTGGCAGTGCTCCTCCTGCTCCTCCTTGCACAAAGGAGCAGATACCGGTCCTGCTGATTGGTTTTAGACCTTTTACGGCCATGTCCAGCTCTCCTGGAGTAACTGCCTGTCTCCTGGAATCTCCTCAATGCTCTTGAGATTGTGCTGGGAGACACGGCAAACCTTCTGGCAATGGCACGTATTGATGTGCCATCCTGGAGGAGTGCCTCATGCTAACAGTAGTGAAAGTGACCCTAGCCAAATGCAAAACTGGTGAAAAAGAGTCAGAAAAGATGAGGAGGGAAAAAAATGTCATTGGCCTCCACCTGTAAAACCATTCCTGTTTTGATGGGCGTCTCGTTGTTGTCCCTCTAGTGCACCTGTTGTTGATTGCATTAACACCAAAGCAGCTGAAACTAATCAACAACCCCCTCTGCTACTTACCTGATCAAATCAATATCCCACAAGTTTAACTCACTATACTCTGATTACAAAGTATTCCATAATTTTTTTTGAGTAGTGTTTATATATATAATGTGATTAAATACGTTAAAATAATATAAGTAATTATTCACCACCTCACTTTTTTGTGTATATCACCATCAGATCGTCACACAAAGGTTTAAGTTTCATATTAAACTAAATAAATTATAGAAGCTGAAATAACCTTCATAGCAGAGGTCGACAAACGGATATCAGCGTAAGTACTCTCTGGATAAAAGGAATGTCTTACATCATCGTCAATATGTGTCTGTGATGAAGGTGAGTCTCTTTGTGAGAAGGTGTTTTGTTCCTGAGGTGTTTTGTTCTTGAATGATGGCAGAAACCTCAGATGGATAGAACATGGATCTGGTCTGTAATAATAAAGGAAGTGCTGAGCTTGAAAGACTTACTGATACATCTGACTGGTCTGTCTAGCGTTTATTCAAACCCCTCCCCTGTGGTCATGCAGTATGACAAGGGTTTAAAATGAGCTTTCTCTGCAGTAGATATGGAGAGGAGCTTCTCCAAACAAGTAGAGCTTGAAGTCCCAGTGCCTTTAAAGGTGTCAGACCCTGCAAACACCCCCTCTTACATGCAAATGCAACACTTCAATGTTTTTGCACACTTTTAAAACAAACAAAAAGAAGTAGTGAGGAAACGTAGCAGACCTGTCATTACTGTCATTCGAGCTGTCTGTGCTGCAAAGACGATTTAAACGCTCTGCCTCCTCCTTATATTACAGGTTATCATCCAGAGTGCCACACGCCGACCATCGAGCCAGAAGCTGACAGCGACTCCTGGATTTGTCGACAATGTGTCTTTGCAGTCGCAACCAAGGTCAGGCTGCTAATCTCTCTCTGTCTCACATTTTTCGGGCTAAAAAAAAAAAAAAGGAAAAAAATGTATTTCCATCCACTTGGTAATGTGTGCAGTGAAAGATCTCACTGATTTTCTTAGTATTGACCTCGATCTGTTCTACACCATGTCAGAGAAATTGTGAGGAGTCAATATTTATGATGCTTCAGTGGCGTTGCGAGGAGCACATTAAAAATAAATCCATTACATTTGCTCCATTTCTATAGATCTGGGAAAGAACTCAGTTTATTATCAGTGGCTCAGGCTTGCAGAGGCCATTGTCCAGATCTTGCGGCGTCTCAGACTCCATCTTTCACAGCTGACCTACAATGAAATGAGACAAAAAGCCATTTTCTCATCAGACATGATCTGCTTGCTGATATGGAAGTGATGTTCTCTATCCTGAAACTGTTTCTGCAGAGAGGCGGTGCTCTCAAACGAGGACGCTTCGCCCGGCTCATGCAGTTCATGAAACTCCGGCTCCCCTACCAGCTCTCGTCCTTAGACTGGGACCCTCAGCATCTGACCAATCAGCAGCAGTGTTACTGCTACTGCGCCGGACCTGGAGAGTGAGTGGAGCACCTTCCACATTGATTTGCACTTAAAATAAACATTTTCTCCTTTTTTTTTTAAAACTTTTAGAATAAATGAAAGCAACATAATCTCACACTCAACATTTAAAATACAGTTTTCTAGTATTCTATATTATACTTCTATGCTATACTTTGCGTCATGCATTAAAACTGTGTAATGCACAATCCTTATATATGTATGTTTATTTATTTATTTTTTACATGTTTTGCCATTTAAAATGTTTTAAATAAGTCTCCCATTAAATAACAAAAAATGAAACAATTTCATTCTATTCTAATGCATTTAT